CGACCTGACCTTGCGGATCTCGAAAGTTGCGCAGCCATACTGGTGCCTGGTGATCGGTCCTTACACGAAACGGTCTCCCGAGAAGGTACGATCTGTAATACTGCAGGACGTGCACTAGGGGCAGCAGCTTCTTCCGGGTAATGCTGCATTTTCTTTCAGGTTTATCCAACCGATGACTGACAAACCCGATGACCCTCTCTTCTCCATCGAGCGACACTTGGGAAAGAACAGCCCCTATCACCGAATCACAGGCGCCAGTATCCAACAAATTTCACAGCTGTGCGCTCGTTGCGGAAATTGAGTATCTCGTTCGGTGGCTCACTACCGGACCGCTTCGGCTTTTCTAGCCGTGTTCTTGTGAATCGTGACAATTATTGATCGTGGTTGTGTGATCGCCCGCTGGAAATAACTGTTGTACGATTGGTTTCAACTTGCCTTGGATCATCGTTCCTTGGTATCAGATTCGGAGCTCGAATAATACGTCGGAAGCAGCCCTTTCACACGTCATTCCCAATGTAAGTTATTGTTGTCTGTTATGGTCGTCATTTGTCAGTTGATCAGTATTTCAACATTGCAAAATCATGTAATTCTGGAATATAAACCTCTGGATTTACGCATTGCATGAGTGTTACTCATAAATACTCCTCAAGTATACTTATTGAGCTCAGCCTTCTCACGCTGACCTTGATGAAGCCGAGAAGGGACTTTAGATTGATACACATCATAGTATCAACACGGACTCACCCGAACAGTGAACTGTTGGCACTATCGCCGTATGATCAACTGCGAAGGCATTCCAAGAACATCTTGCACCAGCAGTGTTACGGGTGTGTTTCTGAGATGGCGGCTGGCCACCTTTCTCTTGCAACTTGCCAAATTCCATATGACTGAAGTCTCAAATGTCCTCTGCTTGGGAAGCCCTGCCTTGTCGTGTCGATGTTTTCCCATCAAAGTGAGCGCACGGTAAGCCAATATCCGGGTTGGTGAACCACTGGCGGTTCCCCTAGTGGAGTTGACTGAGAACCCTCCGTCCTAGTCGGGCATTGATGTGTGCTGGGCACGTCAGACGTTTCACTTTGTCCAATAGGTGTATGCTCTGATGAGTTGGTCCCCTGGCCTCGATAGGTATAGGTTTTCACACGCCGCCCGGCTGCTTTGCCAGTCAAGCTTCGACTAATCGAAGTCTCTCACTAAGACTTCCACAACAAAATTCCCCTGTTTTGGCGTGGACCACTTAGCATTATCCTGCTATCGACCAAATTCAGTGCAGTTATCACAAGACGGTTTGTAGCTCTTGCCAATCAAGCGTCCAGATTCGTCTATTGTCGGCGAGTTTCCTTGGCTTCCGACACTTCGATAAGCAATTTTTCTAAAAGAATAGTGTAATACAGTATCACATCTTTTGTGGTTAGGTTACAGGTGGTGCTAAATGCTTACCTCAGGGAAACCGCCACCCAACACTCAAGTACCTTTTTAAACGCATCTACAGTACTGCAGCTTACCACTGCCGGTGGCAACCGATTCCCCAATAGAATTACCCTGTTAGTGAAAGACGTTGCCCTCGGTCGAAGCCTAGAGTGGCTTCTCTGTAAACGTAAGTTATGTCCCCACGTGCCTCTATGCGGAACCCAGGAGAACAGATCGTCAAACATCAGGCCTGATATACCCTTGACGATCTTAAATGTCTCGATGAGGTATCCTCTCATCCGCCTCCGTTTGAGAAGGAACAGATTTAAATCTCAGCCGCTGTTCATATCTTTTCCCCCGTTGCCCAGCTATCATCCTCGTGGCCAGACATTGGACCTCGTTTCGTTTTATAGATATATTAGTACCGTGATTTGTTCGGCACACAGTATGATCTCAGGTGATATATATATATGCGAATATTTTCGATACTGGATTCTATTCAAACTCAAAATTTATAAGAATGGAATCTATATCAAAACAGTGTACATGAACCGTTTGTTTCATTTTGATTCGGCCTATTTCAACAGGTCATCAGCATCCAATGTCATGGCGTGCGTTTTCATCTATGATAAGGGTGAACTGACCTCGGACACATTAAGTCGATTAGTCAAGTCCGGCTCAGTAATCAATGTGATCTCAAACAATGATCTGAATTCGTTCAAACCCATCCCGAGGCGTGTGGTGCGCATAATTGGTCTGTTTGGAGCAGTCTCACTACTGGCAGGAGCCTATGGAGCGCATGGTAATGCATTGTTTATTCGAGTCTATGTGAAACCCTGTTTTCGTCTATCCTCTGCACTCACAGGGCTTGCACGTGCCGAGAGTAAATACCGACGCATGTTTCAAATGGGTGCCCATTACCAATTGTTGCATTCACTTGTACTGCTGGGAATCCCGTTTGTCACATATCCAAGCTTGGTAAGTACACTTTCGTGTCAATGGATACGGGCTCACGAATTCGATAGACTGCTGTACTGTTCATTTCAGGGAATCTGCTGTTTTCCGGATCTTGTTACTACATGGCTTGGTGTGGACAGGAGAACGCACTCCGCATGTCCATTTTGGGTAGTGTGGCTTTGACGCTGGCGTGGCTAAGTATGGCCTTATGATCGATCGAAAGTCAAATCATTTTCAGTATTCCTTTTGTTCACAATATGATTGAATAGTTGAATTCGAAAGGTGTGATTTGTTTGTTCATTCTTTCTTTTGCCTACATCCCCCGCGCCTATTTTTTTCAACGTTACTTTTGTTTTTATTTTGTGAAGAGCTTTCCTCATTGCGAATTGTTAACATCATTTTATTGATATTATTATTTTTATTATTACTATTGTTATTTTCAAATTCATAATTTGTGCATTAGAAACGCTTTGAATTTTTATTCAATACTGGTGAAATAGTGCTAAATCATGGAATTGCAATTGTGATCAAATGAAAATTTCTCTGCAAGCAAACGGACTGCTTTCGGTGCGTAAGTAAGTAAATACTATATCACTGCGGTCAAGTGATATCTTGTAACAAGCCTCAGTTTGTTCAGCTTCGCTTGTGGCTGGTCACCCTTTCCATACAACCAAACGTGTTAAATAGCTTCCACTGAGGAGACCCTACTCACTATCTTCTCATGCTGGAGGTGTTTTTTCACCGAAGTGAGAGGACGAAGATCTAATGTCAGTTGACCTAGAGGAGTTGGCTAGAAACCGTGATTTCAAAACAACGAAGAAGAGGCGCACGAATCACACATTGTCCCGGTTGTGACAGTGATCACCGGCTCGATTGGGCATGGAGGTATATTAGGCACCTTGGACGTTTGATCCCGTTCGAAGGGCGTATGGTGGCCGGAGGCCACCATGTACTACAGTTTTCACACATGGGCGAAGCTGTGGCTACTCGAAGGCTCCGGTTGTGAATCCTTAAGAAAATTCATTTTTTTTGGCCTTGGCAACCTGGTAGTATTCGGCCCATATGCAGATCATGGTTAGTTTGGCACATTCTGAACTCAGGCGTGTTATATATATCCTGGGACAGAATTTCTTTTCATGCAGACGATCTCCGACCTACACGCATATATGATGCAAGCATGATTGTTTCTGAAGCGTATGCAAATAGATGAGTATCGGGAAGTGAATTTTCTCCGTTTCGCTATGCGAAGAATGGGATGATGAGCTTTTCTTGATAGTTCATCAAACCCGCTTCAGATCACGTAAAGCTCTTCGGGCCCTTATTTTTGAGCTTCCAACTGGACACCAAACTTTGATCGTCCGTAGCTTCAGTCATCCAGTTCGGTGCCCATAATTGGTTCATTATGTGATTAATTCGTCAATCGAAGTGCCTGGGCTTTGGTTGCCGATCATCCTGAGTGAACACTATGATTTCGAGGTTATGCGGTTTATCTTTTTTTCTGTTCATCACACAGGAGTGTAATGACAAAAGTTGTGAAGACGACTAGGTTTGATTAATATTTCACGGGAATAACAAACATGCACTTTCGTGCTTCGGTTTTGTTTGTTTGTCCTCTTAGCTCCTCACATTTTCGGCAAATGAACAAGTGGACTAAACGAAACATTAGGTGCTCGCTATCTAGGATTTGAATATAGAAAAAATGGGCGTATGATGAGTGCGTATCAAGTTGGTGTATCCCTAATTGACTTAGTACAAACACGACAGTCTGCAAGTCGTCTGATTCTTTCAGCGCAACATCGAGACCTTTTTCGAAAATCACAATTTATGCATCGAGAGTGATGCATGGGGACTGTTGACATCGATTTATTATCGTCTGGAATGTAGGGGAACAATCGTGTTCTTTTGAGCTCATTGACTTGAAAAGGTAGGACAACAATACGCTTGAGGATATTGAACTAAACACCAGTGTTTGCACGGTTGATCGGCATGGTCACCTATCTGAACTGTTTTCCATCGTATCTTGTAGAAATGATGCAGATCATTCGGCTTGCGACACATAATGGAACACAATACGCTTTCTAGATCAGCTTCGCGCCTGTACAGTCGGGATTGTTCAATGCGAAACCTGTCAGTCGTGTTTAGGTACAGTACTATTGCAAAAAGGAAGGCCGATTAATTACCGTAGTCACGTATCGGTCGGGAAGTATTGCTCTCATAATTCGTGCTAGAGTTGCACTTATCCTTACTTATAAGTGAGAACTATTATTCAAACAGATTGAAAGACATTCCATACTATTGTTCCCAAACCGTTTCGCGACACACCAAAGCGTCTTCAGCAAATGCCGATGATTTCCAAGTAAAACGGCTGTGCACTAGAGTGTACATTCCCAGAAGTTAGATGGTTGTCGCGGACTCTCCCAACAGCCCACTTACACATGTCTAGTTCGAATAGGTTAGATAGACTTCAATCGAAATGACACAAAATCAGACCGAAATACGACAAGCGACTATCCCTATCCCGTAACT